TTTAATGGGGTCAGCTAAATAGGATATGACTTAGAGTCTACATACTTTATTAATGTTAACCATTGAAATTAATTGGATGGATGAAAAGTACTTTTTATTTACTTTATACATAACTTCTAGCTCCAAACATTACAGATGATCTAGAGATGCAGAGATGTACAAATCTGTTGGGTCATGATCAATCAAGCATCAAAGAATAATTCACTCCAATTAATGTACACGAAACGCATAAAGACCTTATTCTTGTGAAAGATTTGTTGCTAGTGTCATATTTCCGAAATCAAAATCTGAACTTGGAAAACGTACAGCAATTTAATTGAATCAATCTCATAAAATATCATGAATTAATATTTACATAAAAATCAGCACATTCTGTGACAAGAAGAAGACGTAACAGAGAGGTTAAGTTAGCGAGTATTGCCAACATTTCTCCATCATTCTTTACTGCGGTTGAGGGTGGTAAAGTTAGTCAGAACTAAACTTTATGGCAGGAAAGGCAGCAGTTCTTGCTAGCAAAAATTTTGAGAGCTAGGTGTTGTGGGTTATTTCTCAATGCCTCATGAAAGGGTTTGCCCCTGTTTTTATAGTGAACCTAGGAGGTTGGTGTCCTAGTAGAACTCTGAGTCCTACTTGGTAGATAAGTCTCAATTAGGAAGGAAGCATTATCCCTTGCCTTTATCAGATTAGGCTTACTACTTCAAGTAGATTCAGGATCTTGACTAAAGTAGAAAGTAAATAGGATTCCGATACTTATTTTTGGACTATTGTGGGCTAATGGGCTGGAACTCGATTTAGCTTAACTCGTAGGATAGTCAACCTCATATAGTGATCAGTTTATAAGTTGGATTTAAGCATAGACCCAACCAGAATTGGGCTAAGGCATTGGGCCATAAGATGTTTATTTCATTATTGAATCTCGTCAGGCCCAATACGATTTTTTGCTCGTATACTATTGTAACCTTTATTGACTAATTAAATGTCCTTTAAATCAATGGTAAGACTTTTTTGATACTTACATGGAAAATACTGTGAGGTCCTACTTTTCAAAGATGAGCCGGATAAGTTGAGCAATTAAATTGGTCATTCATGAGAAGTTCCATGGATGAATAGATTTAATTGGGTCAGTTGAGTAGGATTTGACTAAGAGTCGAAAATTTTTATTAATATGAACCATTGGAATTAATTGGATTGAAAAGTTGTAGCTGCTTCCGTGGTATGAAATCGAATGTCGCCCATGATACTTTCTATTTACTTCATAGATAGCTTCTAGTGCCGAGTATTTTCCATGTACTTTAATCATTCTTAATTTCTTGGTGATTCAATGGTGATAAACAAACATTCTCTTTAACTTCTAATTTGAACTGAAATTGAAATTGAAACAAGGGCCCAAAACAGAGTAGATAACTAAAGTAATTAGAATCGGACACTAGGAATATTTCTCAAAAAAATAAGCAAATACTACACAACTTTATAAAATATGAACCGCAAGCTATAGAAAATTTATAGAAGGCATGACTGTCTTTGGTTAAATTTTTGATAGACAATATGTCATCAAGCTTTATACATGAATAAATGGTAAACATTATATGCTAACTCGCTCAAAGAATGTTTTCGACTTGGAGAAGAGATTTTTTTTGTTAGGTGTGATTTGTAATGTGGTGTGATTTGTGAGGAAAGAGCAAAACCTTCATTGTGGTCAACAACTTAATGCATTCACATGCATAATTAACTCCACGCTAATTAATCACCACGTTTATGATACTTTTTACTTTTGATTTTTTTTTTTTTTTTTAGTCAAATTTTAATACTTTGGCTTTAATCTTTCAAACTTTGTGTGTTATGTAAAACATGTGGAATGGATATCAAATATAACATTTATATGGTTAGACAAGATGAAATACTTGTTCAAGGGAAGTAATGGTGCTTCAAATGATAAGAGTATAATCACAATCTAAATTATGTGATCTCCGTTTTGGGCAAAGCTTGAAACGGAGTAATTTCCTAAGAGATCACCATTCTCATATGTACTTGTTATATGTTATCCTTTTTAATTAACTTGGATTCCTTGCCAGTTATTAAACAAACGTCCATTGTATATAAAACATATTACAATAATTTACATAAAAATCAGCACATTGTGTGAAAAGAAGAAGACGTAACAGAGAGGTTAAGCAAGCAAGTATTGCCAGCATTTCTCCATCATTCTTTCACTTCAATGATATATTAAACTTGAAGGAGGGGTTAGAAAATTCAATTAAAACTTTTCTAGTTTTCTACTGTAATCTTTATTGACTAAATTATAGATTTGTGAGGAAAGAACAAAGCCTCCATTGTGGTCAAGAACTTAATGCATTCACATGCATAATTAAATTTAAGTCCACGCTAATTAATCATCACGTTTATGGTACTTTTTACTTTTAACCTTTTTTTTTTTTTTTTTTTTAGTTATCAAGTTTAATACTTTGGCTTTAATCTTTCAAACTTTGTGTGCCACTTAAAACATGTGGAATTGATAATAGATATAACGTCAAGCATATTTGCATACTTGCAGAACAAAAGTATATCAGTATATGGAACCCACATTGAGATCAAATCAATACAACTTGTGAATATCACTTGACTCCATTGATTTCTCCACAAAAAATTTACGAATAATAATACAATTACAAAGTCCTCATACAAAGATGTGTGTACAAAGTGATTTGTCATATTATAATTGGGAGAGTGAATTTGTAAAGTCAATTTTTTAACTAAAGTCAAATTTATTGTCCAATCATGGTATGACACATCACTTTGTACATATATCTTTGTATAGGGACTTTGTAAATATAGTATTACTCAAAATTTACATAAAAATGTAATAAACAAAAGAAAGAGAAAAATTGAAAAGAAAGAACCGTCCATGAATCTATCATACTGCAGTGATCATTTGATTTCAGATTTGCTAAATTAGTTTGAAACCGTAGGAAATGAAAACTGTTACTTTTTTTTTTTTTTTTTTTTACATATTTATTATTATTATTATTATTATTTTTGTTTTTTGTGCACGGCTTCTGACGAGGTGAATTCATTCTAGTGAAACAGTACACTATTTGTTTTTTACATACTTTATAAATAACTTCTAGCTCCAAGCATTACAGATGGTATTGACATATGTTAAAATCATTCCTAATTTCTTGATGATTTAATGGTGATGAACAAACTTTCTCTTTAATTTCTAATTTGAACTTGAAACAGGGCCCGAAACAGAGTGAATAACTAAAGTAATTAGAATTGTGGAAACTAGTAATATTTCTCAACAATTTTTCTGGAACCATACCGATAGGCATCAATAACTTCAGTGCTATGATGACAATAAGCTCTAATGACCATGGAATGGATATAGGTTACATGGAGGATTCATTTCTTGTGAATAAAGGTCAACTTTTTGAATATAACACAATTCTGAAGTTTGTGAGAGTCATATACCTTTTAGAAAATACTTTCTCAGCAGAGATTACTATAAAAGTGACAAATCTTACAACATTGCAATCACTGAATCTATCACACAATTCTTTTACCAGTAGAATTCCTGAGAATATAGGAGCTATGACATCAGTGGAGTTGATTGATTTCTCCACAAATCAACTTTCTGGTGAAATCTTATTTTGAATGTACTGAAATGGGTGTGGTAGACTAATAGAAATTATAAAAGAGTACAAAGTTTCTGCGAATTATATTTTTTGTTACTTCCGGATTGAATTCTGAGATGTATTTTTCATCATGTGCAATCCGTTTCTCATCGGCATTTTCAATCACAGGGATCACTGTGGATATAGTAATTTCTACTCTGATGATTTTAACTTTCATGTAAATGTATTTGATCCAAAACACATTCACTTGATTGAGGAATATAAACTTGTAAACTAATTATGTTGTCAATGTAAAGATCAGGTGATGCTGAATCACAGTAAGTTGCCATGGAAGGATACTAGTATAAGTTTCAGAAAACTGTTTCAGTGCAGTGCCAAAAGCCTTTATTATATTGAATCAATTGGTTCTCACAAGTGGAATCATATTTGCTTCATAGACACCGATTCTTTTGGAGCACCAGTATCTGAAATTATAAAGAAAGCCTTGAGAAAATGAGTTTGAAGACCTCTCCCAGAAGATAATTTTTGGAAGAGAAATCATTGAAATGTTGCGTGAAATGTTGAAATGGACAGTTAGGAAAATCAAAGTTTCATATTTTGTCCTCTTTAATTGACTTGAAGTCTACTCTGTTAATTGGACCTACTAAAATTAGAAGTATTTGCATCTTTTTCTAAAATGTGTAATGAGATATTATTGGTCATGTGTAAATGATACCAATTATTTTGTTTTTTGTTTTCTTTCTTCAACGGAGCAATTTTTTAAAATTAATTATTTTTGCGGGCCAATATTATGAGGCCACGGGGTCCCATATCTTTGAAATTTTGATGCAGAAGTAATTATTAATTCGGGTCAATTGACTATGAGGCCATGGGGGTCCCTTATCTTTGAAACAGGGGATCTTGCAGCCACGTGGCCCACTGAAATCTTTAAAATCTTGATGTTGTCAGTAAAGATTGAAGAAATTTCCTGCAGGTTTTAAAATTGATTTCTGGACAAACTAGTCGAGTGGTTCAATGAACGGAAACTCTATAAATAGCAGGCCACTAATAATATATTCTCATGCACAATTCCCTTTCCATAAACTTTTCCTACGCAAATGAAAACCATGAGCATTTGTCTTGCCTTTCTTTTCATTTCCACAACCCTCAACATTAGCTTATGCGGAGGAAGCTCTTACCGGGGTTGCATTGAAAGTGAGAGATAAGCTCTTTTAAGGTTCAAGAAAGATCTGATAGACCATGCCAACCGGCTTGCCTCTTGGACTTCTGGTCATGGAGATTGCTGTACCTGGTCTGGCATTTTCTGTGACAACTCGACGGGCCATGTCCTTGAGCTAAACCTTATAATGTCAAAGCTGGGTGGTAAGGTAAATCCCTCTTTGCTTGATTTAAAGCATTTGCGCTTGTTGGACTTGAGCTATAACAATTTTGATGGTCTGATTCCTAAATTTCTTTGTTATATGCACAATTTAAGATATCTTGATCTTTCTCTAAATTTTTTCCAAGGTATAATTCCTCACCAGCTTGGGAACCTCTCTAATCTGCAATATCTTGATCTTTCTCAAAAAAATTTCCAAGGCAGTTAGATGTTGACAATTGAGGGTGGTTATCTCGTCTTTCTTTGTTGAAACACCTTGACTTGAGTTATTGTGGAATCCATCATTTTCCTCAACTACCCATTGTAAATTTTTCGTTTCTTGAGACCCTTGATCTGAGTGATAATAATTTTGAAGGTCTAATTCCTTATGGACTTCAAAACTTGACTTCCCTTAGATATCTTGATTTATCTCTAAATCATTCCAATTCTTCAATACCCAATTGGTTTTACAGACTTAGCCATCTCCAGAGACTTTCTCTTCATGATAATTGGTTGAAAGGCACGTTAGGGATTCTAGGAAATCTGACATCTATAGAAGAGCTTAATCTCTCATCAAATGGATTTGAAGGTGGAATCCCAAAATCAATGGGACAACTTTGCAACTTAAGGTCAATCAGTATCTCATTTGTCAATTTGAGCCAACCAATATCTGATGTCCTCGATATTTTTCTACATTTGTTTCAGATGTACTAGAGATTTTGGATTTAAGTGAAAGTCAAGTTTTTGGTCAATTTACTGAAAGACTTGGACAATTTAAAAAGTTAGATCTTCTTTTTCTACATAATTCTATTTCAAGTTCTGTTCCATCCTCTTTAGGAGAATTATCGTCGTTACAAATTCTTTATATTGACCATAATAAATTGAATGGAACTATTTCTGAGATGCATTTTTCCAATCTGACAAGATTATTTGACTTTGATGCATCTGGAAATTCATTAATATTCCAAGTCAGTCCTCATTGGGTTCCTCCTTTTAAACTTGACTCTCTAAGATTGAGATCTTGTCATTTAGGACCTCAATTTCCACTGTGGCTTCGTTCACAAAAGCATTTAATATATCTTGACATATCCAATTCAAGAATTAAAGATGCTATTCCAACATTTTTATTAAAAATTCCTTTCAATTTTGTAAATCTCTCTCACAACCAACTCTATGGGCAGATTCCAAATTTAATAGAGTCCAGGATTTGAATTCAAATCGCTTATCAGGTCCATTGCCTCTTTTACCCTTCAACTTGTATCTACTTGATCTTTCCAACAACGCTTTGTCAGGATCAATTTTCCATTTGTGTCATAAGATGAATGAGTCAACGCACATGATGCAAATTCTCATCCTTAATAACAACTTTTTGTCAGAAGTTATACCTAATTGTTGGATGAAATTGAAAGGCTTAAAAGTCCTGAATTTAGGTAACAATAGATTCATGGGTAAGCTTCCAGCTTCTATTGGGACTTTAAGTTCTCTTGAATGGTAAAACCTTCGCAAAAACCACTTTTCTAGAACAATTCCTGTGTCACTCAAAAATTGTACGCAGATGGTGTCGCTTGATTTGGGTGAAAATGAGTTTGTTGGAAATCTCAAGGTGTGGGTTGCGGAGAGATTTTCAAGAATGAAGATTCTCAACCTTAGATCAAATAAGTTTTCTAGCCATTTACCAAAAGAACTTTGTAATCTCCGTTCTCTACAAATCTTAGACTTAGCAGATAACAACTTCTTTGGAACCATACCAAGATGCATCAATAACTTCAGTGCCATGATGACAAAGAGCTCTAATGAGGAAAACGATATGAATTATGGACCTGATGGTTATTTTTCAACATATTTGGAGAGTGAACTACTTGTGAAGAATGGTCAGATGATTGAATACAACACAATTCTAAAGTTCGTGAGAGGTATAGACCTTTCAAAAAATAACTTCTTTGCACAGATTCCTATGGAAGTGACAAATCTTTCAGAATTACAGTCATTAAACCTATCACACAATGGTTTTACTAGAAGAATTCCAGAGAACATTGGTGCTATGAGATCTCTAGAGTTTATCGATTTCTCTAGAAATCAACTTTCAGGTGAAATCCCACAAAGCATTTCAAGTTTGACGTTTTTGAGTGACTTGAACTTGTCCAACAACAACTTAACCAGAAGAATTCCTTCAAGCACTCAATTAAGTGGCTTTGATGCATCCTGTTTTGCAGGAAACCAACTTTGTGGACCTCCACTTCCTAATAATTGTATTGTGCCTACTCCAACAATCAACAATCAGAACAGAGGAGAGAAAGATGGTAATGAAGATGAAGTGAACTGGTTCTTTGTGAGCATGGTACTTGGATTTATTGTGGGATTCTGGAGTTTTATAGATTCTCTACTCATCAGCCAAAGATGGAGATACTTGTATTGCGAATTCTTGAACAGCCTCCAAGACAAATTGGGTAGTGTTGTAAGAAAATGTTAGTAGAGTTTTTTTTATTTTGGTTTTTTTTTTTTTTTTTCGTCTTTTGTCGTTTGGAGCTTACTTTGTATGTACCAAAAAGGGAAGTGAGTAATTGTTTGAACGTTTGTCATGAAATGATATCTGCTATCTTTTTTACAAATAAAAAAGATTATGTTAATGCCTCCATTAATTTAACACACTGATCAGTGACTAGAATTGTTGTAGAATGATCAAATTTTTCGTTTTAATGGGGCCAGCAAAAATTGAATAGATGACATAAATGTGAATAAATAAAATATTACAGGCAAAATGTCATGATCAACCTCAACACCACTTCTAGTACTCACAAATCCATAAACAAACTTCAATTTTTTATCTTCAAGACCGACTCTAGACTTTCTATCTCCCTTGCTCACAAAGAAACCCACGTATCCATTTCAAGAGACAGTTTTTTAAACATCATTTGTGAGTTCCAACAATGGAGGAAGTAGTACAACTTGGCGTTGAAGTGAGTCAAGAGTTGTGGTTGTTAGAATCATAAAAATGACTCCATTAAAGTGATTTAATACCCTTTGTTATGATTTAATTGAATATATATTGCGACAATTTGTGAATTTATGAATTTATTGATGAAAAATCACATTTTAATGTTTTCTTACTAATTTTACATGTTTGGAATGATTTTGGAAATGGTGTGAGTTGATATTAGGTTGTCGTTTATGGATTAGGGTTGATTATGTCTCATTTATGTTATTAGGGGGCAAAATATCATGTTTTCAAGGGGTTTATTTTGTCACTTTTTGGATGTACAGGGACTAAGATTGCCCATTCTCTATGAAAGAAAAGTGAACCGTGGTTAAAAAAGCAGCCGCCCAACGGGGCAGTTTATTAAAACAAACTTTCAAGTTTGAATTTAATTAAAAGGCTATCAAGTTTTAAAGTTTTACTAAATAGCCATATTATTGATTAAGGGTAATTAGGATTAATGAAGTATTATATAATCTTTTAAAAATTATACTATATTCCCAAAAACCCGAAATTCTTGCAAACAAACCCAAACACCTTCTTCTTCCTCACGCCATTAACGCATCTCCACCTTGGTTGTTGTTTCTTCTCAGCTTCGTCTACATCTTCTTCTTTGTCTGCATCTTTTTCTTCGTCTACATCTTCTTCTTCCTCCTTCCTCTACATCTTCTTCTTCCTCATTCCTCTATATCTTCTTGTTCCTCCGCCATTAACACTTTCTTCTTCCTCCACCATTAACATCTTCTCCGCCAAAGATCCCCCTCCTCCTCCTCCTGACATTTCGTGTAAATATGTGTATCTCCTCTTTACATTTTATATTTAGATTTACAAAGATTTAATAATGGATGGGGTTTAGGTTATGATTTTGATTTAGTTGTTTAGGTTGTTGCGTTGTGTTTGATGTAATGCAAGTTGAAAGGAGTGAAATTTGTTGAAAATTTATTCTGGGTATTTGTTCTAGGTATGTGTTCTGGGTATGATGGACCGATTGTAGGTGAAGATGGCTGAAAAAGTGTTGGGTTTGATCTGATGGATCGCTTAAGCGATTGGGATATGACAGAGAGCTTAAGCGATCTAGTATAAGTCTGGTATATGGTACGAAATCGCTTAAGCGATCTGGTATATGACAGAAGATCGCTTAAGCGATCTGGTATAAGTCTAGTATATGGCAGCAGATCGCTTAAGCGATCAGATATATGGTAGCAGATCGCTTAAGCGATCAAGCTTATTTGTACTAGATCACTTAAGCGATATACTGGATCGCTTAAGAGATGCAGTAAGCAATATATCGGTGAGAAATTATATTCCATATGTTTATTAATATTTTAGTCCTTTTTTATTATATTAAATTATTTTTCATTTCATAAGAATGTGAAAAGAACACTTTGGTCTTTGTCAATCAGCACCATACATAAAACTGAAAAATCTATTGTTATTCTATTATTTTTGTTAGTTCTAGCAAAAAGTAATATAAAAAAAATATATATTGATATAAAATTGAACTCTGCAACCATCTGCTCTGCACTCTGTAGACCAGGCTAAATAGACGATCGCTTAAGCGATTAGGGTAATTTACATCAATATTTATTTTCCATGTATAGACATAAAGAACTAATTTAATTAAAATATAATAACGGTCATGGTCCATGAATGAATCGTACACCTGATATGTTTAATATAGACGTAAACATTCTATATCATATATGTTTAATATAGCCGTAAAAGAACTAATTTAATTAAAATAATAACGGTCATGGTCACTGAACAAACCGTACACCTGATATGTTTACTATAGACGTAAACATTCTACCATATATGTTTAATATAGCCGTAAAAGAACTAATTTAATTAAAATATAATAAGGTCATGATCCACTGAACAAACCGTACACCTGATATGTTTAATATAGACGTAAACATTCTCCATTATATATGTTTAATATAGCGTACAAGAACTAATTTAATCAAAATATAATAATGGTCTGGTCCACTGGACAAATCGTACACCTGATATGTTTAATATTAGACATAAACATTCTATACCAATAGTTTAATATAGCCGTAAAAGAACTAATTTAATTAAATATAATAACGGTCATGGTCTACTGTTTAATATAGACATAAACATTCTATACCATATATGTTTAATATAGACGTAAATTCTACATCCACTGGACAAATCGTACACCTGATATGTTTAATATAGACATAAATATTCTATACCATATATGTTTAATATACCGTAAAAGAACTAATTTAATTAAAATATAATAACGGTCATGGTCTACTGAACGAATCGTACATCTGATATGTTTAATATAGACGTAAACATTCTACAATATATGTTTAATATAGCTGTAAAAAGACTAATAATTAAAATTAATATCGGTTATGGTCCACTGAATAAATCGTAACCTGATATATTTAATATAGACATAAACATTCTACACCATATATTAATATAGCCGTAAAAGAACTATTTAATTAAAATATAATATCGGTCATGATCACTGAATGAATCGTACACTTGATAGTTTAATATAGACGTAAACATTCTACACCATATATGTTTAATATAGCCGTAAAAGAAACTAATTTAATTAAAATATAATAACGGTCATGGTCCGCTGGACGAATCGTACACCTGATATGTTTAATATAGACGTAAACATTTACACAATATATGTTAATATAGTCGTAAAAGAACTAATTTAATTCAAATATAACAACGGTCATAGTCATTGAACAAATCGTACACCTGATATGTTTAATATAGATGTAAACATTCTACATCATTATGTTTAACATAGCCGTAAAAGAACTAATTTAATTAAATATAATAACGGTCATGGTCCACTGAACGAATTGTACACCTGATATGTTTATATAGACGTAAACATTATACACCATATATGTTTAATATAGCCGTAAAAGAACTAATTTAATTAAAATATAATAACGGTCATGGTCCACTGAACGAATCGTACACCTGATATGTTTAATATAGACGTAAACATTCTACACCATATATGTTTAATATAGCCGTAAAAGAACTAATTTAATTAAAATATAATAACGGTCATGATCTACTGAACAAACCGTACACCTGATATGTTTAATATAGACGTAAACATTTTCCATCATATATGTTTAATAATTAATATAGCCGTAAAAGAACTAATTTAATCAAAATATAATAACGGTCATGGTCCACTGAATGAATCGTACACCTTATATGTCTAAGATAGCGTTAATCACTTAACCAATCTAGTGAAATACAATAAAAATAATCCAAATACACTGGATCGCTTAAGAGATTTCATTTCTCGCTTAAGCGATCCTATGTATTTAGACTTAGTCGCTTAAAAGATGTGGTTGTATTTATGTTATTGCTTAAGCGATTCTATGCTTTTCCACTTGGTCGCTTAAGCGATCACGAATAAGACAGAATCAATAAGTGCCCAGACGCACGATCGCTTAAGCGATTTATTCTATCGCTTAAGCGATCCTTTGCTTTTAACCTTGGTCGCTTAAGCGATTACATGTCCGAGGCAGAATAAACTTCTACTTAGATGCACAATCGCTTAAGCGATTAAGTGTATCGCTTAAGCGATTCTTCGCTTTTACTATTGGTCGCTTCAGCAATCTACTTAAGCGATCATGAACAAGACAATAAATAAGTGCCCAGACGCAGGATGGCTTAAGTATCGCTTAAGCGATTCTTCGCTTTTATTGTTAGTCGCTTAAGCGATCATGAACAAGACAATAAATAAGTGCCCAGACACATGATCGCTTAAGCGATCCTTTGCTTTTAACGTTGGTCGCTTTAAGCGATTTATAATCGCTTAAGCGATCGTGTCCGAGGCAGAATCAACTTCTGCCCAGATGCATGATCGCTTAAGCGATCTAAAATCGCTTATACTAGATCGCTTAAGCGATCTTCTGTCATATACCAAATCGCTTAAGCGATCCTTTGCTTTTACTTTTGGTCGCTTAAGCGATTTTAGATCGCTTAAGCGATCATGTCCAACGCTTGGAATTTGCGTCGGCATCCTCCTCTTCAGTTTCAATTTCAACTCTTGTCCTCCCTTGTTTCGCCAATAGAATATCTTCCGTCGACGTCGTCTCCTCTCCTAGTGGAGCAACTTCAGTCATCGGAAGTTACTCCACCACAACTTTTTCTTCTCCATTTTTGGTAGACCCAATCATGCCTACAATTTGGGGAGTATATGGATTTTTTCTGTTTCTTTAAGGACTCAGCCATTATAACTTAATCGGGAATGGCAAGGAATGAATAAAATGCAAAGAGCAAAGAAATTGAGAAATTGCAGAAAATTGGAAGAAAAAACGAGAGAGAGAAAGAACCTGAGAGAAATGTGTTCTGCCTTTCAAATTTTAAATCAACTTCTCTTTATTATACTCTAGCCCACAAATGTTTAAATCTTTTCACCCTAATCCTTTTTGCTGGTTTAATTACACTTAAGTATGCCACGTCATATTTTTTAACCCAAAAAAAAATCAAAAAGAT